CACTCTAGTCACCACTGTTCTTGGTAATTTTTCTTAGAATCCACCTAAGCATCCCCTTTCCCTTTAACAACTTCCCCACTAGTCATTCCTCCATAACACTGTTCTCTAACCCAAACCAGCACTACAAAACGTCCTAGTAAGTCTGACTTTACTTTTCCTATCATTTTGCTTATTTGCCTTATTTCTAATTGCTTCTCATTTAATTATCAGTATTCATCACTTATTCTACAGCCCATGCTTAATCTGCAGACTTCTTCTGCATTCCATCTGGTTGGAACATGGACCGTCCTCTGTGAGAAACAGCAATCTATTCTAGAACAGCTGCAGCTTCCAATATAAAACCTAAGAGCACACAGAGTCCCTTAGGACAGTCTGAGTAGTTCATGGGCATAGAAGATCCCTAACCAGCATGGAAAAAGTAGGAAAAGATTGAATTGGGCCAGATGTAAGGAACATCCAGAAAAACAACAGAGAGAGGAAAACTATGAGAGAGACGATCTTCAGATGAAAAATATTGAAAGAATCAGGCTTAGGGTGTTGGAACACAAGGAGTTACACATCTTTATATAAAGACTTTATATATACACATGCACACATATGTATCTATTATACAGTCCTCTCCATACCCAGACTTGAACTCCGATTTTCTTGGTTATAATACTCCACTGCCTTTTAAAGTAGCTGTGAAACCCACAGCTAACCTTTCTCACTCTCCTTTTTATTTCTGTCAAGCAACAGCAGCCAGTACCACTACTGCTGTTTACTTGGCCAGTTCAAGGAATAAAAATGTGCACCAAGCATGGAAGACTGCCATGCTGAGGTCAGTAGATTCCCATGCAATATAAGTTCTTTTTTTTTTCTTCATAAGAGTACTTTAAAAAGCAAGTCTACAACCCCCTTGCCCAGCTTATTACCTTGGAAAAGGAACAAAAATGACAGAAATTAGAAGAATGTGTCCACTGCAAAATCAGAAGCATAAAATTGACAAATCTTAAGATTGCATTTGCTTATGCAACTTAATTTACTCCCTTGCACATACTCTTAAGGACAGACACCAAAATCACAGCTTCCTTGAAAGGTCAGTGGGCTGTTTGTCATGGACTTCAGAGATTCCAGTAAGACTCACAGTCTTCAGCACCATGCTTACAAATTTCAGTTGCTTTTCTTTTTTATATTTTTTTTTTCCCATGAGGTCCATTTGTCTTTTGTTCACACCATTCTCTGATTGGAAGTCTTCCTCCCTCCTCTCCCCAGTATATGCAGTGTGTGGTCCAGTGTCTTATTTACTGCATATATACAAAGCCCACATTGAACAGAGGATTTAAAATTCCTCCTGGTTATTTTTCATTGCAAAACCTTATCATTCTCCCGGGTCTTACATGTGCTATTAATGCATCTTTAGACTTTTTTTGTAAAGCAACTTGTATTACCAATTCTGTTTTATAGATTAGAGTATGGAGCACAGAGAAATACAAACAGATTTGTCTATGCCCAGTAAGTCTGAGCTCTGAATTATGCATTAGCCTGACTTCTTCAGACATCTGCAGTGTTATATTCAGAGCTAGGCAGCTAAAAAATAAAGTTCACTCAGATTAGTGACCACCTGTAAGAAGTCTGGTATAATTGCCAAATCTGTCAAAGGACATAGAGCAGGAGACAGAAATCTGTCTGTGTTTCATAGGCTCACTGTGTTGCTTGTGGGGGCCAAATGAGATGCCACAGGGAGCTAAACCCAATGCTATCTTTCACCTAGGGAGATTTTGAGCCTTCTTGTCCCACCTCATTGGGAAGGATCCTGACCACAAACCTACAAACCATTGGATAAGAAAATGTAGACAATTAAAAAATACTAAATCAAGATTTGCTATCCTCTGCATGAGCGTAATATACCGTAAAGTCAATAAATGTGCTGTTCATGCAAATGAGGGCCTGGTTTTGTTTAAATAACATATTTGCTGAAAGATCATGTGATGTTTCAGTGCAGCGATGTCTTGGGAATTAAGGATTTACTGATTTAACACTTGACTTGTTCACCCTTCTTAAAGCATTTCAATGACATCATCTTTGAATGCTCTCATTGATTAACTCTCTGAAAGCGTGTCTGTGAGGCATCTTATCCATGACTATTGAGGATTGTTAAATAATTAATGGTTTAGTGACAACCTGATTGAGATTAATCAATTGACTAAAACAACTGCATGGAGCATGTATGCACAGAACAGGCTTGGAAGTGGTTTATAGTAATTAGAAGCCAAGATCTGCAGCTGCCACTATATGCTGATGGTAAGAGAGATAATAAATAGCCTATCTAGCAGCTTATCTGGACACAGGTGTACACCACTTATTCAAATGATGTTTCAGGAGCAAATTTATTTGTTGGCTTAATCAAGTGTAATTGATCAGAATGAGCTACATCTTTGCATCTGTTGTTTATGTTAACCTGATGAAAAATATCACAAGTCTCGAGCCTCAGCAGTAAAAAAAAAAAAAAGAGTATTGGAAGAAGTATTTGTGGGAAACTGCAGATGTAGCTAACAACTAAAACAGTGTAGTAAATTGCTGAAAATATGATGCATGATCGTGTACTCAAACTATGAATTAATTTAGTAATTTTTATTAATCCTAAGTGAGCTTTCCCTATGAATCATCTGTTTGCTACGAAGGACCAGAGATACTTGTAGCTTTTGCTTACAGAGTAGAGAAGGATACTACTTTAAACTTGCTAAAAAAGGGCTCATTATAGTCATGTCAGGGTCAGTAATCTCTTGGGAACAGACAAAGATGAAAAGAGAGTCTTTGCTGTGCAGGAAAAGATATTCTTTCACAAGGAACCTAATTCACAAACACTGGATTAAAAGGGAGCTGTAATTTGTGTGGATACTCTATCATGCCTTTTTAATTAGTCATGCTTTTCTGTATAGCAAAAATATTTCCAGGGGCTGATGGTATTTCTTACAACTTGTTTGGACACATTACTTAGAAATAAAAAAACACAGAGAAATAATGATTTATGATGCCAGTCCAAGGACCACTGTAAATAGCCTTTGCACTTGGACTGCCACCTCTCCTGTTGCCCAGCCCCAAAGTGCCTCCTGCCAGCTTCTTCCCTCACTCGCCTTACAGTTTCTTCCATTCTTCACAGCCACTGACACTTATGGACGCATGTGTGACGTCTACAGTCATTGTACAAGTGCCTTATTATGTTGTCATGAAGGGAAAGAACACCAGGAGCCAAGAGTTAGTGCTACTCCTCACACTAAGAGATATTCAGGTTCCCAAAGTGAGTCTAAAACAATAAGACCACAAAAGAAAACCAGGGGGCAGTTAGTGGACAGGTCGCTGTGACCAAAATGCCAACAGACCTCCTCAGAAGGTAGGACCATCCTACTTTTGTATTTACATTCATAAAATCTGCATTAAAAATCTTGATTAACAGCAAGCAAACATCTGAGTGAATTTTTGCATCCATTTTGACCTTGGAATAAGGTAATGCAATAAGCACTCAGTGAAGGATGACTAGTGCAGCTGATGGCCTGGGGAAACCCTCTGTAAAGGTTGGAGTGTACTTGTGGTGACATTTTTGAATGTAAACTAAACAGTTACATACCCTGCATAACATGAACGAGCTGTGTTTTCCTGCAAAACCTGTAACAGATGGAAAACCACAGGATAACCAGATAACTATAGCCTAGGGACCCATTATATCTGATTTCCAAATCTATTTTTGCAGATAGGCCTTCTGCAATACCAATACAGATTCTGCTAGACATCATTAGTGCATGGATATGTTGTAGATGTGAATACAAATTCTGAAGTTGCTCTTCAGTCCTTTATCCAGGTAAATATGACATTTAAACCAAAGGGAAAGTTTTGCAGTGAAAATAAATATGTTACAATACAAAAAGTGAGAATATTTTATTGCCTGCATTGCAAAGATATAGGTAATATTTTTTCTAACTCAATCTAGACTCTTATTGACTGCTGTAAACTCATCAGGCAGTTGCTGAATAAATAAAGTTACATCCTAACATGTACTTTTGGTCATTTATTTTGACAAGAAAATTATAATTTTATGTACTAGTCAATGAAAACAGCTAGGAAATGAATGGGAAATTCAACTTGTAACTGCTCAGCAATGGTGATTCATGACCAAGGAGTGAACTAGCATGGAGGGCAAGAAGGCCTGATTGCAGAAAGGGTTAAACTGTCTGGGAGCAGGAATGCCAGGGACAGAATGACTTTGTGTAAGGGAATGAAGTTTCCCTAGGTGATAAGAAGGTGATAGTTGCTGTATAATCTTGTAGCAATGGGCTGAAGTGTCCCATGCCTACACTTACATTATGAATGCTGAGGCAAGTGTATATAAGGAATCAGCTCATGATGCATCTCTGCAGACTCCTTGTAGAACCACTTGTGGTGGTAGGACTCTGTTCAATGCATTGTTCGTTACATTTTATTTTTATATTTAAGCACCAATGTGAGTTCAATTTGCCTCAGTGGGTAAAGAAAATTTACAGAAGAATTTGAAAAACAAACAAACTAACAAACAAACAAAATCATTCAATTTAACTGCAGAAAATAAGAAGAGGCATTCAAACAGACTTGGGTTTGTAAAAATAATGTGGCAAAATTGATAAGATCCTAACCCAGTTTTGCTATTCTTTTGAAATGGAGGACACATCAATCAGCTCTAGACCCAATCATGGGTATTTTGAATCTGAATTCAAACATCAGAAGTGAAACCTGTGGTCACACAAACCAATAACCCGCACAGGTAGGGTGAGAGCTGGGATCAAAGACTCTCATCACCAGAGGTCATATAAAGCAGTAAAGAAAAAGACTTTTTTTTTTTTGACTTAATTACTCCACTGTATTTAGAATCCAAAAAGTAATTTACATGAACTTCACTCTGAGAAACAAAACAATAGAAAAAACAAGACTAAGAAGTCTATTTCATTTAACGTTAATTCCCCACACATATTTTGGACTTTTACACTTACCGGGAGTAGCACTGGAGACTGTTGGCCACTGCTGGTCAGGCCCTCCTGGCCCTCCACGTAAGATTCCTGCCTCCTCCATATGCACAGCACTGAATAAGTATATAGCATGGTTAGATTATACAGTACACCTCTGGCTTTATAACATTCCCCTTTCCTGCTACTCTTCAAAGGTCCTAACTTTTTGTCACTGTGCAAGTGCTGCTGTAGTACTGCATCACACTAACAAATTCTACTGGAGCACTGGAGAACTAGCTATTCTGACTTGCTACAAATAATCAAAAAACACAGTTGTGGCATAATTTAAAAAAAAAACAAACATACCTCCAGGACACTTTGCTTTCAATGGTTGGAAGTTGCTAACAAGGAAGTTGCACCTTCTTTGCTGTTATAATGTATTAACATTAAAGCAAACAATAAAAAGTTTCTTGAATTAGTTCTGAGCTTCTCTAAGTACACTACTCTTGTGAACAATTCAGAAGGAATTGTGAACAATTGTGAACAATTCAGAAGGAAACTGCATCACATTAAATTTTATCATGTTATATGGTGAGCACTTGGCTTTGAAAGCATCAGTGCTCCATATTAGCCAGCACCTTATATGGAAGGAAATGAAAAATCTCCTACATTTAATGCAAAACTAGGCCCTTATCTGTGTATGATTTTTAGAAAAACTCAATTCTGTGACTGTGAACCTGTCTCTGCTCATCTGCCTCTCAGCTCTGTTCTACACTTCCAACTGACCTTGATGGGCAATTTCAACTAAATGGGACAAATGCCAAAGGTCATATGGTTACCAAATTTCTACATGTTTTATAAAAAATGAGCATTTAATGAAAATCATCAGTTGGGTAGGTTACACAGGCTTGGATACTGAGAAGGATGGGGCTGCTGATATGAGAGAACAGAGCAACACACACAGTTTCTTAGAAAGGCTTAATTAGCTCCCCTGCATGTGGGACAAATTGCTTTATATGAGCTCTGACTCTTCATTTATCATTCAAGTAACTTCAGGCAAACTCTTGAACTTGGTATAAAAAGGAATGTGCATCCACAGGGTCAGATTGGGAATATGCAAGAGCACACCTGGATCCATGGACCAGTAAATGAGATTCCTAGGTAGGTGAGAAAAATCCGGTTTCAGGATCCTTCTTCCCAGACTGTTCATTCCTTTTTCAGAAAGTAGTTGGAGACCCAAAAAAACCACCACCAGATAAACAGCAAGAACACAGCCTCCTGAGTGCCCTCATCAACGTAAAGCACAGTCTCAGGGATGGCCAGTCAGAACCTGAGTTTTGGACTTCTCCCTTAAGACTACAATACTATGGATAATAGATAGAAGGCGATGGCCACAGCCGTACTGCATCCATCAACGGCTTTCGAAAAAGTATAAATTCCTGCACTTGCAGTATCATTAGGAATTATTACAGCCCTATATTTGCATCTCAGTCTGTAAGGTAGCATGTCAGATTACACCTTAATATAAGACCAGTTTGCTAATCAGTTCATGAAATAGAAGCAAATATATTTTAACTAGGCTCTACAAAAAGAAGGCTTTGTTATAATTCTTTCCAGATGTACTGAGTAGCAAATTATAGCAGAGACTGCTCACCAGGGAAATTTCAGTCAAAAGAAATTTGGACCCAGCCTCACTTTGCCTTATCTGAAAATCTGTTTCTTATCTTTAAAATGTCCTTTAAACTATGGTAATAACCTTGTGGGTACCATGTGGGTAATAAATGGGCTGTAGGAGCTGAATACTTCTATGGTAATAAGAGACAGCAAGATGGAAAATGCATCAATGCTGCAGACAGTCTATTGAAGCATATCAACATTAATGATAACAGGGAGCTTTAAAGTAAACAAGAAGTGTAGAATCACAATTAAATAATTCAATAATTGGAGCAATTATGGCTTGACAGTCAACATAGAAAAGGAAGGAGGCAAACACAACAAAAGCACAGCTCTGTAGTAGTACAGTAATAGCAGAATATGTAGTCAGATCATATTTGTAACACTTGGAGATTGAAAGTGACAGCAGCAGAACCTTCTTTCCATCTCAGCATACAGATATCATCAGTCTAGCACATCAGAGAATCCAGACAGCTTTGTCCCTTTTCACAGAGGCCAAAGACAGAATTCCCATTTGCCCAGAAGCACACTACATACCTTTGCATTCCTGCCCTTAGGGATGCAGAGTAGCGCCAGTCAGGATTGGGGTGTTTTGGCTGTAGAAACAGAAACCCAAAAAAACATTGTTAGTGTGTGTTGAGTATGCTGAAAAACATGTATATCTGGCTAATTTTGTGTTTGTTGTCAAAGAATCTGAATGGAACTACTCGCTTTTTGTGAATATTCATAACTGGCAAATTCTTCAAACAATTTTTTCAAACAAATTCTTCAAACAAATTCTTCTACAAATCTAAACTTTCAAATGGACACACAGAGATCATCTCTGTAACAAAACAACGTTTGGATGCCAAGGCCTTTGGCTAGAGATGGTCTTTGTGGAAACACATTTAATGCTGGAAACTGGTGGAAAGTTATTTTGCATATTCATAAACATTCTGAGCATAGGAAAAAAAAAAAGGATGATAAAACCATAATACACATTCTACTTGATGAGCCAAGGAAACTCAGCTGCTGCACTGGATAGTATCTGTCTGAGGACATACAAAATGCAGCCCCCTGTGAAGGAGATGTGGGCTCCTGTTTGCCATGAAGCTTCTGCTGGCATTTAGCATACTGCAGAGGACTGCACTAGATTGTATCAAATTTGCAGACTGCAGCAAGTCTTTTATTAAAGGCAGACATTTTCTTTTATATCAAGAACAACTACATTCTCCATATTCATCAGAGGGCATAGGGGAAGGAAGGGGAAAATAAACAGCAATACCCTTTGACCAACAAACCTCAGCATATGCTAACATGCTGTAGAATGGCTTGCTAAATAAAGAGATAGCTAAGAAATCCTCTGCTAATCAAAATGTGTTCCAGAAAAATCTCTTTTTTGTTGTCAGGGGACCATCACAAGAATTCTCAATTATGGCCTACAATTGCAAACTGATGTCCTTTGAAATTACGCACTTCTATACAGCACTAAGCACATAACAAGGCTATTTCTCAGGCTTCTCAAGACATTATTCTGTATGTGATATTACAGACAGTGCTTAACTTCAGGCACTTGAATCCAAGGAGAAAACTTTTGTCCAGAAATATAATGGACTAGACTCATTCCTGGTGTGTCTCATACAGTGCCAAACACACAAATAATAAATGATAGTAATGGTTTAATTCTGTTCGAGCTATTGGAGGCAGATCAGAAATGAATTTGGCCCCATTACTTGAAACAGAAAAGGAAAGTGTTGAATGCTCTGAATTATTTACAGCCAGCTCTGTATTTCCTCTTGAGGTTTGGGGCATGCTTTTCCCTGGATCAATAGGTTTTATTCAAATAAAAATGGAGCAATTACAACTTCCACCATCGCTCCATCACCACACTTCCCGAGTCCAGCTTCACCCAAGAGTGAGATGCTCTTCAATGATGTGCATCCTTAGTATTCTTTATGGTCTGAATTACACAAAAGGGAGGAGACTGCTATTTGCAACCACACATTAAACATCTGCACTAGCAATTTCCTTCCCATTTAGCCCCCAGTTCTCTGGCACACTCAGGTTTTGCTGAGTTGAGCAGAAAGCAGCTTGACAAGGAACCCATTATGTATGGTTCCAGTATTTTCTTATTCATTCCATTTTGGCCCCAGTCCCAGGGATGGCAAGGCAATTAAAAAGTCAACCATATAGGACTAAACAGTGAAAGAAGACAGAAAACAATACACACTAATCAGACCCTTTCCTGAGTTTGTCTTTCTTAATGTATGAAGGATGCTGACACCAGAAGATTTGTCTTTTCCTCTGCAGGGGATTTTCTTACAGAAGGGGAACTGTTAGACTGGGGAGGGAGGATGGAAGTCCCCATCCTCTTGTTTGCAATAGGAAAGGTGCAGGTTATAAATTTGCACAAGCTTATAGGCAGCATGAAGAGGAAAAGTCTTACCACAGTCTTAGGCAAAACACAGATGAACTGACATGAGAAAGAGCTGGAAAAGTCTGACATGAATTGGGTAAGAGTAGAAAAGAGAAAAACATCCACTCTCACTGTACATAGATTTTTGTTTTCTAGCCAAGAGCTGGAAAGCTCTCAGCTGAAAACAAACAAACAAAAAGCAACAACAACAACAAAAGGAAAAATCTATGTTCTGTTGCAGTAGAAACTTTCAGGTATTAGATCATAAATAGGTGATGATGGTAGGAGAATCTCAAAAGTTAGAAATTCTCATTCCACATGGTATCAACCAAGACTCATCATGTCAGTATAACAGAAGTATCAGAAACTATGAGACTGTGGTATTTTCTAGGGTTACTATCCAGAAGCTGTGGCAATCAGTTCTCTATTTGCTATTGCTCTTAAGGCAAGGCTGTAGTGCTGGTCCCAGAAGGTCAGAATGAATTTTCTCAGGCACATGTATTCTGGAGATAGGAAGATCTAGTGGGGTTATGCTTTAACCCCAATAGGCAGCTAAACCTCACACAGTCCCTCGCTCACTCCCCCATGCCTGCAGCACAATGGGGGAAGAGATTGGAAGGGCAAAAGTTAGAAAGCTCATGGACTGAGCCAAAGAGAGATTAATAAACTGGAGAGAGGAGGGGATAATATTTTTTTTTAATTTTAAAAAAAAAAAGGAAACAGAAGGAAAAATAAAAACATAACCATGAAAATCACTATTTTCATCACAATTCCAAACCATAGCACCATACTAGGATGAAAAGTAACTCTATCCCAACCAAAATCCTGCACAACACATTTGACTTTCAGACACTCTGGGGGGCTGCTTTTTAATTGAAAAGTTCAATGTCTGAGGACTTCCCTACTCTGTAAATTTTTCACAGTAAGAACAGGAGAAGCAGGCAGTTGGACAGCAGTCTGCCTTCATCTAGGCACAATTTTACCATGTGTGTACTGCATGGCTGGACCTTAGCAAGAGATGCATGTTTGTCTTGCACTTCTGTTATCATAGACAAATGTCCTGCATTTTGCAAAACTGGTGAAATTCCAATTTTGTCAATTACAGAAAGTAATTCCTTAAGATCATCTGGTTTTAAACATAAAAGCAAAATATGACCAATAATTTAAGTGGCAGCATAGTAGTTGAGAAGCATACCAGTTCATTAATTTCCCAGTTCAGATGCATTAGTAATGTTCTTACAGAGCCAGCAGGCGTTCCCAGTCTGCATGCTTGGATTGGCCTTTATCTCTGGTTCTAAACAGTTCATTTTTACCAGACCACAAACTGAAACCTGGCATACTGAACTGTACTGTTAGCAGTCACTGTGTTGTGTCACAATATGGCCAACCTCAAAGTAGAGTAGTGTCTTCAGTACAGTCCCATGAAACAGGAGACTACATTACTAAAAGCTGAATGCTGTCAGTTGGCTCCTCTGCAAAGCCCTGTCAGAGACTTTGCCATGTCACAGGTCAGCAACAGTGGGACAGGGCACAGCCGGTCAGGAAGCATGAGTACAGAGAGGAAGTGTAAAGAGAAACACAGAATCTGAAGTGGACCAGATACTTCCCACTTGTAAATCCCCATGCAGTCAGTATGTCACATACTGCTGATGAAGATAATACTGTTCACTTTATGTCTGCAGCTCCCACCTTGTCACAAGACACTCACTGTCACACACAAGTCCATTTTACTAACTTTAATGTATTCTTAGCCTGCCTTCTCCCTTAGAGGTTTTTGGAGGCCATGTGCCACATCTAGTGGTCTTGTTCTTGCCATGCTACAGTTGAGATGAGAGAAACCACTCAATCCAACACCGTTCCCAGTTCCTCCTATCACTTGCTTTTTTCCAATTTAGTAACAGCACATAACATCATAGTTGTAAGATCTGTTAGTTGTAAAATCTGTTGAGGTGCCTATAGCTGTGCTTGCCACCACACTAGGTGATCACCTCATGCCAATAGTTTGCTTCTTCTGGTTCTTCCAGGCACCAGGGTTACATTCCACCAACCATATAACCACAAGCATTAATGTGATCAATCAACCCTATCTGAAAGTTAGATAAGCAAACTGAAAAACAGCAAAAAAAGTTCATGCAAAATTTCACACAGCTGTTCTTAAATTGCACAGTATGGGTTAATTTAAGCATTTCATGGGCACATAGAGAAGCTTAACTGAGAATAAATTGTTACAAAAATTTTGCCTGGTCATTTTTTTTAGCTAATGATTTAGCACACTAAGAATTTGTCCTGGGACAGAGGGAACTTCTGAAAGATTTTAATCTTGTCCTAATCCCATACTTAGGAAAACCTATGCAAAGCCTCCCATTGATTTCTGTGGGCATTAGAACAGGGCCTGCCTGAGGTAGAGAAGTGTGAACCAAACATTTACAAACAGTTACCAGCTGATGAGACTGCTAAAAGCATCCCACTCCATTCCTCTTTCCATGCAAACACACAACTGAATGACATAAGATATATTTATCAAATATATGCTCTTTGAAGGAAAAATAACAAAAGGCTTTTTACAATCTCTGACCACTCATAGCTCTGCTTATTTTCCATTGAGATGATGCTGACAGATGTAAGAAAACACAGATTTCTATTACTGATTCCCTTCAGAATATGCTTAAGATTAATTCAATGTAGAATACAAACTACTTATAGTCTGAACTTGCATTCATCATACAAAAAAAAAAAAAAAATCAGAATGGAAACTGTAAAAGTGCAAAATTCACGAAGATAGCCCAAAGATTTGCTTCCTGGCATTTTTGATTTGCATTTCTAACTCTCAGAAAACTAAGGTGAAAGGAACAGGCAAGTACTTCTCCAAAGTATATGTAATGAGTTTCAAGACAAGGAAAACTCCTCTGTTAAATACTGGATGTAAATTTCTGCTGGCACAACAGTAAGCATCCCACTAGGAGTTTGATTTCCCTCAAGCACAGAGCATTGTCACTGCTTAGCAAAATAGGTCCAGACACTGCCCCTAAACAAAAGAACAAACATTTATAGCTACCCTTTACAATGTCAGTAGGGCTGGAGAATTTCTTAAAGGCTTAAGTTCTTGACCTGAGATTGTAAAATACTCCGCCATTAATACCTTTAAAGCCTCTGTGAGAAATCTCTTGGAAAGATTGCTCCAGACAATGCCATGGGTTTACT